CTGTGCGTGGGAAAGTGAGCGAGGGAGTTAGAGTAGGAATGTCGTGCGTAGGAATGTTGCGAAGGAATGCTTTGCTATATATGCCATCAACCCTCTGGCATCAATCCTCTCTGGGCCGCTTATTCCTGGTTCTGGGGTCGCCATCCTGGATGTTACCGTACAAGTGGGTGACTGTGTTCATGCGGCCGAGGACCTCGAAACATTGGAACACTGATTTCTCCATGGTGGCCCTGTGGGACCGTTCTGCGCACAGCCTCAAAAGATAGTTTAGAGACTCATCCACGAAAGTGTCGTACTCTGAAGGCGACCCCATGTATTCGCTCCTAGGGGTGCACAAGAACCCCCCTTCATTTCTCATGCCCCCCTTCCCTGTTCATCCTTAGCATCTTTCCCGTTCCCTGACCCGTCTCCTCCTCCTCCTCCTCCTCCTCCTCCTCCTCCTCATCATCCCCTTCTCCTCCTTATAATGCTTCCAGTGGTTCAAGTTTTTAACCCCATGCTCCTTTTCGTCAGGTGCCCGAAGAGGTGGAACTTCGGAGTGAAGTGGATCTTAGCGAGGTCGCAGTTCACCAGGAAAACGACGCAACTCTCGCGCAACACTTGGTACTCCGACACTGTCGGCTTAGACTTCGCGGAGTGGTAAACCCGCATCCAAGTAAGCAGGGCCTCACCTGCTTCAACGAGCTCCTTTCCATGCGGGACTTCGCAGCCCGATCCTACATGATACTTCAACTTGTTGACTGCGAACTTCAGAATCTGGAAGGTTTCCGAACCTTTCAACTTGCAAATTCCTCCTCCAAAGCAGGCGCACTCCTCTCCTGGAAACATCTTCTCGTTCAGCGTTCCGATCCTATTTTCATGCGGCACCTCCTCCTCCTCATAATATGTCATGAGTTCTGCCTCAAGTCGGTTCCAAACCGTTGATCGCGGCGCACCCCAAGGATTTGCAAACGTGAGTCTGCGCAAGACCGCGCTGACATACCTCTGCATGCATCCAAGGTGCACCGTGTGCAACGTGTCTAGCGCGAGCGACCGCACTGGCGATGTCCCGAGCGCCGCGCTGAACAGGGGGGACCTGTGAGTAACTGAGCCTAGTTTCCGCCCCAGGCAATCGCATCTCGGTCGCCAGAACACAGCTTTGAAGGGCAAGGGTACCTTGTGAAACTCGAGAGGTATCAGGCATTCAGGAGACGGCTCAAGACGGTCACCTTCCAGCAAGCCTAAGGGCGGACAATCGGCTTTCAACAGGAGGCCTTTGTTCTTCACTGGCACCAGCAATGCCCACAGCTTCCTGCGCGTTTCTTCTGTACCCACAACTACTTCGTGCTCGAAGGATTTACACGTTTCTTCGTACTCCTCCTCAGATCTATCTTCCCACAGCAAACCGCAGTTGTTCAAAAACTCGCCGTCCACGATCGGCAGCCCATCCTTAGAACATGGGCATATCGGACAGCAGTCGTGCACGCACCCCCACCCAGCTAGGCCCATGGATTTGGCGAATTCTGCCCAGTCGCCTTTCAGCAGCACGACAACGCTCCTGAACGAAAATTGCGTGGTGGGTTTCTCCCATGCTTCCCAGTCTGACCCGTCGTGTTTCTTGTCTGGCACCGAGCCCTTTATGTGGCATTGCAGCTGGAAGGACGCAACCTGCATCGTAGAGTATATGGAGCAGTGCCCGCCACAACCACACCCGAGTTGATGTCTCTCTTTTTTGATATCATATTTATTATTGAAACGTCCAAGATGCTGCCCTCCCTCTGAATTTACAAAGCACCCTGGCGCGTGAGCTGCATGGTTATCCCCCCCTCGCTAACGCCGAATGGTTGTATGTGTTGTTCGCGTGTACTTGTGAAGGGGCGAGGGGCGGGTGGGTGAGGGGGCGGCGGAGCTGACGCAGTCGAGAGCTCGTTTCGACCAGCCGTCTGCGCCGTGTACCTTACACCATCCATGTACACTGCCAAAGGCAGTGGGTAACCTCCTCCCTCCTGTAGGCACTCCTGGACGTGGGGGTGTTCTTGGTACACCCTATTGGACATGAAACTGCTGTAATCGCCCGTGTCACCGTACCTCAACGATTCTTGAATGTCTTTATTCTCCTCGACTTCTGCTGCGATCGAGTGGAAGACCTGCCTAAATAGGACCGTCTTGCTGCATTCATGCGAAGCCTTACTCAGGAACGCTGGCACTCGAGCAGCGTAGAATGGCCCTCCGCTGGGCAAGTGTTTGTCCATCTCTTTTTTGCATCTGCCCGATTCAAGATCGGGCGGAAGACCGAAAGTTGACCATCTTCCTCCTGGCACATTGCATTGGGCTAGGTAACCACAGACAACACAAAAGTCTTTAGCTGATATCTTTTTGCACGAGGCCCATACAGTTAGCAGGATCTCAAAAGCCTTGCTTCCAGCAAGCCGCATCTCCTCTCCAGCCTCATTGCGTATGTACTGCCTTTTTGGCACTCCTCGGGCTGCCTTCGAGCGGCGGCGCCATTGCTTTTTTGTTGGGCGCCATCTTAGATTGAGCCAACGTTGCTGCTGCAAATGCAAACGCTCGTCTCTCTCTCTCTCTCTCTCTCTCTCTCTCTCTCTCTCTCCCTCTCTCTGGCATCTCAACCTCCTCTCCTCCTCTCTTCCCCCTCCTCTCCTCCCCCCCCTCCTCCTCCTCTCCCCCCCCTCCCCCTCCCATCACTGCTCCTCCCGCCCTCCTCCCTCGCATGGGCCCCACGCCCACTCTCCGAAGCTCTACGTTCTACGATCTGCCTTCTCATTTTCCTGGGCACCCGCTCGCACTGTCCCATGCGGCCCCGTCCACAGCAGGGAATGCTCAGTGCTCGGCTGCCTCGCGCTCGCGCGCCTCCCGCCGCCTGGCTCTCCTCCCTCCTCAGCAGCTGCAGCCTCAGCGCCTGGCACGAGTCACAGCCGTCGAAGGTTTGAATTTTCGGCCGGGGCCCAATCGGGCCGCTCGCGAACGCTTCCCCGCCAGAAATCCCCTCTCCCCAAAGAGGCCCCCCAAACTCCTACGCAACTCCTTCGCAATTCCTCCGGTACATGTTTCTCCTACGTTGTCGTTTTTTTACATATATATATATATATATGGTTTCCTCCTCTTTCCTACGCATTCCCTCCGCCCAACATTCCTACGTAATTCCTCCGGTACATGGGCGGCTGGGCGGATGGAATTTTCGGTGAAAACCACGTCGGATCAGGTTTTTCCTGGATCGGCCCTGGATCGGATCCCATTTTCCAGAACCCCTCCTCAATTCCTCGCTCCTCCGCAAGCCTCCTGCGCTCCAGGCCTCCTGCCTCGAGCAGCCTTCCTCAGGCTTCCCGCCGCCAGCGTCTCTCCTCGGGCTTTCTGCCTGCGGCGCCTCTCTTCGAGCTTCCGCCTGCGCCTCTCCTGGGGCTTCCTGCCGTCAGCGCCTCTCCTCTCCTCGGCCTCCTAGTCCGAGTCGCTCGGGCTCTCACTTTTCTTCTGCTTCTCTTTCTTGTCCTTCTTGATCGCAGTCTTCTTGCCGCTCGATCCCTTGGGCTTCGCAGCTTCGCGCAGACGCATCTCCTCTTCGTCTCTCGCCCAAGCCTGGCGGACTAGAACCTTTGCTTCCAGGAGAAGCTCTTCGATGTCTTTCTTCCAGCCCGCCACCTTGCCACACTGTGTCTCAAACTCAGCTGCAGTCACCTGGAGGCCGCTTTTTTTCGGGGGGGGGGGGGCGTCTAAACCCGAAACCGTTGTCCTGGGCTCTGGGAGTCATGGCGAAATGGCCCCTCTCAAAATCTACACCCTCCAATCGGTTTCCCCAAATCCTCACATCCCCGCCTCGTCCCTCTTCGAATGCTCATCCAGCCGCGCCTGCTTCTTGTGCGAGGCCTCATCCGTGACCATCATCTTCTGCAGGCTCTCGCTGGCAAACAGGCTCTGCACCTGGGCACGGACGGAGGGCGGGGAGCACCATGAGATAGGATACCTTGTAAGGAGAGGTGAGCAGAAGGAGGGAGGCCAAGGAAGAGAATCAGACGACAAGAAGATGATTTAAACACGCCCACGGGCTCAGGATGCGGGGCGAGGGGTCCGAAGAACTCCAGGGTGCACGCGCGGCGGACGAGCTGAACGGTGGAGGTGGACAGGCAGCTTCGAGGTATCAAATTCCCGAATTAATGGCAGGAGGGGCGGGCGCGAGAAGCTGACGAGCTATGGGAAGCCCATGGACGATCGGCACGCCAATCAAGGCGCCTTATTCAGCTGGTCGTCCATCGGCTTCCTCAGGTTATTCAGCTTCTCGCAGGACTTGTCGGTCTTAATGAGAGCCTCCACCTTGGATACCTCACCAAGGGCCTGCGTGTATGCCTGCTTCGCGGCTCTGAACTTGGTCAGCCACTCTGGTGTTTTTTTTAGGCTCTTTAGGCGCCTTGCCACAGTCTTTCTCCTTGACGCCGCCTTTTGATTTGCCACCGTCTTTGTCTTTTTCTTTGCCAGCCTCTTTGGTCTTCTTGCCTTTCTCACTGTCTTTAGTCTTCTGCTCGTTGTCCGCAGTGTCTTTATCCTTCTTGTCTTTCTTTGGTTTGTCGCCCTCTTCGTCGGAGCCCGCTGCGCCCTCCTCTTCCTGATCCTCGATCTTTCTCCTCTTAGACGGTGGTTCCTCTTCTTCGTCGTCGTCTGCACCTCTCTCTCTGCTGGCCGCCGCCGCCCCATCCTCAAGAGCCGTTTCGTTCAACCACTTCTCAGTGCGAGTCCACCTTCTCGTGAATCTGTCGTTCAGTTGGTGACGCACGAGGAGAAATTCAAGGATGCCTCCCAGATCACAGTATCTTGTGTAGATCCCGCCCATGATCGCACAACTAGTGCAATATTTAATTGCAATGGCTAGGCCAGTTGGCCCACCCCCCTTTAGCCACGCGATCCGTCCAAGCGTGCAATATTCCCCCAGAGCAGCATGTTCTTTCTCCATGCTCTCACCCTTCTCCATTTTCACATCCTTCTTCCAATCTAAGTGGCATTGTTTTGCCCACCTAGCCCTGTATTCCTTCTGTGCCTTCCAGCCTTTCTCCTGCTTGTATTCCTCCTGGATCGTCTTGCTTGCTTCCTTCGCGCGGTTCCATCGCCCTGCAGCTTCATTGCCTTGAGTGGTGTCCAGGGTGAATTTGTACCCCGCTGCCTCCATCTTGTCGTAGTGCATCTTCTCTTTTTTGTCATATGCGCTTAGCTGGCCGAAGACTTCATCGAGATCCTCATCCTCGTCGTTGTCGCCATCCTTCTTCAGAAGAGCTTTGTACCTAGGATCCTTTTTCCTCATCCCTTCCACCTTCGTCAGCAGACTTGTCTTGTAAAGGTCAGCGAGCTTGGCCTGCATTACAGTGTGGGCTTCCTCCTCCGAGCGCGGAATTGCGGATTCATTCTGGATGTTTGCGATCTGCGTTTGAAGTAGCTTTACCAGGCTGCTCCCATCCGTGGCCTCAACTTGCGCAGCATCCATATTCGGGGTCGGCGCCGCAGACTCTACGGCCTGGAGGGGGCGGGAACTTCCTGGGGCGTCCTCGCCAGTTCCGTTTTGCTTCTTGGGGGGCGGTGGTTGCAGCGATTCGGATGCGTGTCGTTTGCTCTCTTGGTTTCCTGGTGTACCCACGCTTGTCAAAGATTTGGCGTCCTCTTCCAGTTGCTCCTCTTTTTTCTTGCTCTCGTGTTTCATCAGCTGCACTCTGCTTGCGACCCCTTCGACTCTTTCGAACACCTGTCTGTATTTTTGCATTAGCTGCTCGTGCTCCTCTCGTTTCTGCTGTCGCTCCTTCTTTCGCTCCTCCTTCTCCTGTTTTCTCTTCAACTTCGCCGCTGCTTCATCCTCTTCAGCGTTTCTCATCTCCTCCTCGGCTCTCTCGTTCTCAAGTCTCATCTTTTCTTTTTCTTCTTCGCGTTCTGCTTCCATCTTTTTCCAAGCTAGGTCTATCTCTAGATCATGAAGCTGACGCTCCTTCTCCTCCTCTTCTTTGCGTTCTTTCTCAAGCGCTTCGTGTTTCTTTTGGAGCTCGAAGATCGCTTCCGCCTCTTTTTGCATCCCTTCTTCATCGCACACTGACGAATTCGACGAGTTCAGTCCTGCGCTGGGCGGCGGGGACGGGGAGCCCACAGCCCCGACTGTCCTGATTGGCGGCGTGCTTGGAGCGGGCTGTGGAGCAGATTCTCCTCCTCCGTCTGCTGCTTCCTGGCGCTTGCTCCTGCACCTGCTCCTGCCCTCGGAATCTGCCTCTGCTCCTTCTGCTGCTGATGATGCGCCTGTTCCTGCTTCCAGTCTTTTTGCGATCCCCTTTAGCCTTCTATATTCGAGCTTCTCTCCTGCGCTCAGCCGGCGGTCCGACATCAACTCAACGGAGCACGGTGACTCTGGCGCCGTCTGCGTTGCCTGCGGGCGAAGGGCGGCTGGGAAGGGTGGAAGGTGGGATTGGCGAGGGGGGTAAGTACATTATCAGTCTCGTGCGTTCATCGGCGGGTCGCCTTCAGTGCTGCTTCGTGCTTTTTCTTAATGAGATCCCAGCGTTCTTTCAAGGACAGCATCTGCCCCTGTCGCGGTGATACCACCCATGCGCAGTTCTCCTCCAAGCGGAACGCGTCATCCTCTCTCCATCTCTCTCCATATATCTCTCTCTATCTCTCTTTCTCTAACTACTTGCTCCCATACCATCGTCCGTCCCCGTTAACTAAGCCCATGTTCTTTTGACTATGAGTTGCGGTTTTGTGCGCTGAATTGCGTCCGCAATCCCTTCTAGATCTCTCCCACATGATGGACAGGGGGGGGGGGGGCCTGCTTCTCGTCCGTTTTGGGCGCCTCCCCTCCCCATCCCCCCCCCCCCCTCCCCCCCCCCCCCCCCCCCTTACCTCACACCCCGTCTCCTCCCAGGTCGAGCCTCGTGTGTGGCTCCCCAGCATCCGTGCGCGTAGGAGCCGGGCGGACGTGCGTAGTAGGTCCTGGCCTGAGATCTGCACGTACGCCGCATGCAATTGTTCCGTTCTGCCGTCGTGGACATACCCTCTCCCTCCTCATCATCCCCCTCCCCCTCCCTCCCACGCCTCATCGTCACTATCTTCCCCTATTCTGCTGCTGCTGCCCCACTTCGAGAGTATGCTTCGCGTCCTCAGCGTGCGAGCTGCTCGCAGCTGCCATCGCGATGGCAAGGGCCCGCTGGGGCCCCGCTCAACCCCAGGTGCTGCGCCGAAGGGGGGGGGGGGTCCGCGCGCCCCTGCAAGGGGCACTTGAACCGAAACGTATCGAACGATCTCGGAGGGAAAGCCGTGCGTGATGACGACGCTAAAGACGATTTAGGTTTCACATTGTTTTTGTCCGAAGCGCGCGCACAGCGCGGCAATATCTGCAAGCCGCAGGCGCGCCCCGACGGAGCGAAGCCGCATCGCGCAGTCGCGCGTCTGATCCTCATCCTTACCTCGTCCTCCTTACCTCGTCCTCAAACCTCTGCTGTCTCAGACTCCACCTCGATTCAACTTCCTCATGAGCTCCCGCTCAACAAGAGCAACGCGATGGCTTGCAACCTTTGCGATGACCACTTGCCGCTAAAAGCTTCACACATCAACCCCCTTCGCACTATCTCTCCTTCCTCATCCCAGCTTCTAGCAATCAAAACAAGCCGCTGCCCATGCTGCAGGAAGAACCGCTAGAATCGTTATTTTCAAGCTTCCTCTTTTTGGCGCCATCCTGCTCTTTCTCTGCGGGTCTCGTCTTCTTTGCCTCCTCTGCCTTCTCTGGACTGTCGCCGCTGCCGCCTGCTTTCGCCCCCTCGTCCTCTGAGCCCTTCTTTCTCTTTTTCGGAGCCTTTGCCTGATCGCCTGCTTTTGCTTTTGCTTTTCCTTTTGCCTTGCCCTTGGGTTTGCCACGTGTCTTCTCCTCTGGCGGCTTTCCCTCGCCCTCCTCCCCGTCCTCCTCCTCCTCGCCCTTATTCTCCTCAGTCTCGCCCTCGCTTGATCCTGCCGGCCTCTTCCTCGCGATTTTTGGCTCGTCGTCTTCGTCCTCACTGCTGCCGCGGTCGCGTTCTGGAGCGTCATCGCTCGAATCATCCACTGCAGCCTTGTCCTCGTCATCGGGTTTGACCACCGTTGTTGCTGGCTTCCTTTTCGGTCCGTCGCCATCTTCATCATCGCTACCGTCTGGGTCGCCGCCCTCGGCGGTTGAAGCAGCTGGCCTCTTGGCAGCGGGCCTCTTCATCACGGCTGCGCCCTTCTTCATCTCTTTGGCGTATTCGGCCTTTGCTTTCTCAAACCCCTCCTTGGTGAGTCTTCCCTTGGACACTGACTCGGCCCACTGCCTCATCTTGGACTCGGGATTCACGAAATAATCCCGAAGCGTCAACTGACCGAACATGGAAGCGTTTTTCCAGATCGCCAGGAAGTGTTTCTGCCCCTGATCCCTCGTGTACCGTGTCAAGGTCCAAGTTTCGTCCCCCGTGGAATAAGAGCACAGTGGCTCCTTTTTCTGTTTTTCTCCTTTTGCTTCCCGCCACTCTGTTGCCGAGACGCCCGCTACTGTCCACACAGTGCCGTCCTCCCACTCCGCCTGTACCTTATCCCCATCCTCATCCTCGTAATGCTTCGTCGCGTACTGAGGCGGCTTCTTCGGTCTCACCCTGCATGCAGCCTCCCTTGCCCGAGCGAGGAGGAGGGGCAGGAGGAGGAGGAGGAGGAGAGGGAGGAGGGGAAGGAGGCCCCACCGCCAACCGTCCTGCTTGGCCTTGTCCCACTCGTATGAATACTCGCTGGCGCACTCGAGACTGCGAAGCTCCTGCCCTCCCGTCCGAAGGATGGGGGCGAGGGCGGTTGGCAAACAGGGAGGTGAGTGGAGAGGGACGCAAGCAGAGGATCGTCTATAACCTCTCACTGCCTCATACTCCCATCCTCCTCATCCTTCTCATGCTCATCGTTCTCTCATTCTGATCGTCTCATCCTTCCGATCCCTCCCCATCCTCCTCATCCCTGGCGGCCTCGAGGAAGTGCTCCTTGAACCAGTCGGGCGGCTTGCCTTTGCCCCTGCGCGACGGGGGGGGGAGTGAGGGGAAGTGCTCCTTGAACCAGTCAGGCGGCGTCTCCTTACCCCTGACTCCTCCTCATCGCCCTCGCCCGCTTTCCCCCCCCCGCGCCGCCTGACTTTCAACTCCATCTGGCTGATGTGGCGGAGCATCGCTCGGACCCGCCAGCCCCACGCGGGAGCATCCTGGCGATCGGCCCCTCTTTACTCGATCCCCCCTACCCGCCGCATCCTCCCTCCCTCTTCCATCCTGCATGCCATCCGCCAGCTATCCAATCCGCCTCCTACTTGCCCTATCACCCCCGCCATCGAGCATCGGGCCTGGCGACAGCCTCTTATTATTTGCTTACTGGCGTCCTCTGCCCAGCTCTCTCGTGTGTCGTCGAGGCGCCAGCGATCCTCCTTCGCCTCAGCCACTGAAACTAAGATATGTTCTAAATTTTTCCTGGCGACCGTGGTCGCAGGAGATATCACTTCACGGATACCCTTAAGCAAGGGCGCCTGCTTCACCAGCTTCTCTGCATCAACGCCCCCCTGCGGCAGTGGGCGGCGGGGAGGGAT